CCGCCACCCGCTCTGTGCGCCCGGGCCAGGCGCTCGGGCCCTCCCGGCGGCCTCCTTGCCAGGCCGGAGGGCAGTGGCAGAGAACGTGGTGCCTTTTTGTTTCCTAGCAACCCCTGTGGCGGCCCGGGCGTTGAGCACTGGGCCCCGCGGAGGTGTCGGGCGTGTGTACGCGCTGGGCGACCCGCCTGCCGCGTTTTCGGGGCTCCTCTTCATTTTCGAGACCCTGGCCCCTGGCTATGCGAGAAGCGCCCCCCCTCCCGACCTTTGACAACCCCCCCCCCCCTTCACACCGTCTTTGAGCGAATTTACAACTCGGGGATAAAGCGGTGTAAGCTGAGTTAGCCTTCTCCTCCCACGGTGGGTTGGATCTGGCAGGATTTCCTGGGCTTGAGGTCGCCCCCTTTGTGCCTTCCTTCTGTTTACTATCGCTGGAGGATGTACCTACTCCGGGGAGGAGGTGGAGCACAAAGATGGCAGTCAGGGTGGCCGGAGGTAGATGCCGGAACAGCTTCAATCGTTTTCCAGACAGCCAGTGTCGGGAGGGTGGGAAACAGACCTCAATCAAGTATGGAAGCGAATGACAGACCTGGGTGGTGATCAGAACCCACGGGAACTTTGTTTGTTTTGAGCCAGTGTCTCCTGTAGCTCCGGCTGGTCTGGAACTCACTGCGATCTAACTGCCTCAGGGATGAAAGGCGTGCACCGTCAAGCCAGACCTCTCCTGTAGCTCTGGCTGGTCTGGAGCTCACAGCGATCTACCTGCCTTAGGGCTGAAAGGCGAGCACCATCACGCCAGGCTCCCCTGAGGAACTTTTTAAAGTAAAGATAACCAACTCCTAGGCCCCATTCCAAACTTAGATGGATTTCTGGCAGGTGCGGCCTAAAATGGTTCTCTGCTTCCAAGCAGCTGCAAAGAATTGAACAAGCCTCTAGTTAAGTTTTTCTTCCCAACCTTTTGTTTTTAAGGAAGGGACTTAGAATTTTCAAGGCATAATTACAAGCCAGGTGAGATGGTGCTTGGGAGGCTCAAACAACAGAAAGATTTTGAGTTTGAGGCTAGTCTTGCCATGTAGTGACTTCCAGGCCACCCTGCAAGACTGGTCTCAGAACACAACCACCCAGTAGTACCAACAATTCCCTTTAAAAAAAGGAATAAGGGTGATGGATAGAACTTTATTTTCTTAGTCACAGGTCTAACTACAGATGACTTTTTTGTTGTTAATTTTTTGTCATTGTTAATTTAATTAAAAAATTTCGCACATTATAGTTTGATCACGGTTTCACCTTTCCCAGATCCTCCCCCACCTACCTGCCCTTTATCTCAGTCTTTAGCAAACAAAGAAAAAGCTGAAACAAACAAGACTAAAAAAAAAAAAAATGAAAACACAAATAAGACCCATAAAACTATGGGACGATAATATATAACGAAACAGACAAAAAAAATGCCCACACAAAGCAATATGATTTAAAAAGTCTGCAGAAAAAGCGTGGAGCTCCTTTTGTGTTGGCCATCTTCTCCTGGGCTAGGGCCAGCTCTCCACATTTCTCCATCTCTCCTTACACTATTTTGTGGTAGTCATATGAATTAGGTTTTAGGGATGAAATCAAGATGCTCATCAAGAAAGATTAAGGAGCTTGGTGATGGTGGTGCATGCCTTTAATCCCAGTACTCTGAAGCAGAGGCAGGTGGATCTCAGTGAGTTCCAGGCCAGCGCTTGTCTACAGAGCAAGTTTTAGGACAGCCAGGGCTACACAGCAGAACCTTGTCTTAAAAAAAAAAAACAAAAACAAACAAAGTGAAAGAGAGAAAGAAAGATGGGGACTGGAGCGATGGCTCTGAGGTTAAGAACAATTACTCTTCTTCCACAGGACCTGAGCTTAGTTCCCACCACCTACAGCAGACAGACAACTGACCCTTAACTCTAATTCTAAGGGTTCCAACATCTCTGGCTTCTCTGGGCTCTTGCACTCACATGTACATTTCCACATGCACGCACGCACACACAAATATAATTTAAAACAATAAAGTTGTTTTACACAGAAAAATATGAATGACAGCCTGACTTTCCTTTTGATGCAGATGAGCTGAGAGGAAACTATAGTAGCTGCTGTGTGTGTGTGCTTGGTAGATCTTATGTACAGAATTATTTCAGATACTCTGGGATCACTAACTCAGACCGCATTGTAATTTTTAGTCCCCTCATAACTGCACAAAATTCCTCTGTATTTCCTATGTTATATTTAAAATGAAGAACTGTAATTTGGCTTACATCATCAAGTGATTTTTTTTTTTTTTAGCTTAGTTCCGACTTTCTTCAGATTAACTTATTGGACTTTGACATGAGCAGAATAGCTTTCTACCCCCACTTTTCTTCCAGTTGCTGAACAGTGTATTTAAAGAAGGAAGAGGGAGGAAAAGTTTTATATAGACGGGAAGGCAAGTAATGATGGAACAGGGTCTACATAGACTGGACTGAATGGGGTGAAGAAATTGATTTTTTTTATAACTAGAATTATTTGAAAGTACTGTATTAGTTTCTTACATCATTATCTCTTCTTCACAAAAGACAAATTGTGCCTATAAGCTAGTTTATATTTTGCTGTAAAATCAGATTGTGTTTTGAGGTAGGGTTTAGGATTGAGCTCAGTGTCTTTTTTTTTTTTTTAATTTTATTTTTTGAGACATAGTTTCGCTGTAGTTTTTAGAGCCTGACCTGGAACTGGCTCTTGTAGACCAGGCTGGCCTTGAACTCAAAGAGATTGGCCTGCCTCTGCCTCCTGAGTGCTGGGAGCCCGGCTGAGCTCAGTGTCTTAATCTTAATGTATGGACACACTCCAGAATACCAAGCAGAAGGAAAGAGCACCAGATTACTTTATGATTTATAGAGAGGGATGGGTTAATGATTTGGATTATTGGGGATCTTGAAGATATTAAAAATAAGTTTTCATGACCATTTCAGTGACAGGAAAGGAACAGAATCGTTTTAATAACTTTATCACGATATAAATGTCTCTTTAATCTTCATTTATTTCTCCATATAGGAATTGTCTAATGCTTTCTATTTGGAACAAGAAGTACTTTTTCTGGTAACTGTTGATGGTCTAGTGGATAAAACTAAATGAGTGTTACTGATATTTACAAGATTTTAGGTAGAAATTTGTATGTTAGCAACAAGAAGCAAATGTCTAAATCAGTTTAGGAATATAAATATAAATGACTGATTTTCTTTATGAAGTTACTGGTGACAGTTTGTATTTGGGGCACAGTGCGGTGTACCTTCTATAGGTTTACTTCGTGTACTGTGATAAAGAGGAGTACAGAAGATGGCTATCCTCATACAGACTTTGGATATTGGCAGGAATTTAATGGGTGAGCCATTTGAATGTTTTCCTAGAAACCAGAGACCTATTTTGGCAGGGACGCAGCATAGATAGTGTGGTTTCACTTTTAGAAAGTTTTTATTAATGTCAAATTTCAGGTTGGCGGTTGAGACTAGTAAGATTGATGACACATTGATATGTCAGGAAAGAGAATGATTAGAGCCTTAAACTAAGGTGATAGTAGTTATGCCAAGAAGAGACCCCTGACCGTTTAAGAATATTGTATAAGATTTAATGACAGCATGTCCATTTTTTCAATGTTATACTGTACATTGATCTGGAATAAATAGAGTGCCTTTGTGGGTATATTCACTGAGGAACGTGTGTAACTGAAAGGAAGAAGGGAAGAGGTCCTAGACAGACCCAAGTTTTGGAGAATACTTAACATAAGTAGAGAGAGCTGTATCCTGAGATACAGGATAAGAAAAAAACAGACAAGACATAAACTGAAAGAATTAAAACAAAAAGCAAAGCAATAACAAAGACTTAACCACAGCTCTGTTAGATACCTTATAATACTCAGATATAATGTTTTAAAGAATAAGTAAAAACAAAGGACTGAGGGAGGGGGTTAGTGTAAAAATGCTTGCCTAGCATGCACAAGGGTCTGGGTTCAATCCCCAGCACTGAAAAACAAAACAAATTTGGCTTGGGTGGTACAGGTCTGCAAAAGCATCTGGGAAGACTGAGAAAGAAAGGACAATTGCAATTTCAAGGCTAGACTATGCAACGAAGTGAGACTCTGTCTCAAAACACCAAAATAAATTGGGGGACATAACCCAGTGTTAGCATATGCAAGGTTCCCACGCCCCCCTCCCTGTCCCCAACCAGGCATGAAAACAGCACTTGGGAGGTGAGGTAAGGTATGAGGATTGTCACGAATTTGATACCAGCATGGGCCACATAGCAATACTGTTTTTCAAAAGGTCAAAAATAAAGTGTGTTTGAGGCAAGTATCCAAAAGACATTTCAGGAGAAAATAGAGTAGCTATTGATAAGGTTATTTCTCTTATTTTATTTTGTAATCTTAAAGATCTTAGTTTCTGTTTATTTTCATTTTTGTTTTTTTAATAAAATACTTTGACACAAAGCAGCTTAGGAAAGGAAGGGTTTATTTGATTTACAATTGCAGTCTGTTTCTTTGGAGACATCAAGGCAGGAATTTAAAGTGTCACATCCAGTCAAGAACAGGTATATAGTAAATGCACAGAACCTTGTTGTCTACTTAGCCAGCCTTCTTTTACACAGTTGGGGGCCCCAAACCAGGGAAGACTGCTGTCTGAATGGTCTGGGTCTTCTTGCATCAGTAACTATCAAAACAACCCTAAAATATACCCACAGATCAGCCAACCTAATCTAGATAATACCTCAATTGACTTTCTCTTCCCAGGCGGTTTGGGTTGCGTCAAGTTGATGCTTAAAACCAATCACCATAGTTTCTATCACTTTTTTAAAATGTCAAGGAACATTTGTACACTGTTAGAAACTCTAATCCAAAAGAAAATTTACATGTAATAACATATCTGGGAAACATTAGTTTTCTTTCTTTGAGACTTCTCTTATATAGCTAGGGCTGACCTTGAATTCTTTATATAGTTAAGACAGGCTTTGTACTCTGATTTTCCTGTCTCTACTCAAGTGCTGGGATGATAGCCCAAGCTATCGGGCTTTTTTTTTTTTTAATTTTTGAGATGAAGTTTGACAATATAGCTCTGACTAATTGGGAACTCACTATGATATGATTTTTTAAAATTATTTGTTGATAGTCTCATACATATAATGTATTTTGTTCATTTTTATTTTCAGTTACCTTCTCATTCATTTACCTCCCTCTAACTTCCTCTGAACTTCTTTCCAACAAATCCCTCTTCAATATTTTCATGCTTTTTTTTTTTTAAAGATTTTTCTCAGCCAGGCTGTGGTGGCACATGCCTTCAATCCCAGCTCTCGGGAGGCAGAACCAGGCAGATCTCTCTGAGTTCGAGGCCAGCCTGGTCTACAAGAGCTAGTTCTGGGACAGGTACCAAAGCTGCAGAGAAACCTTGTCTCAAAAAAAAGACAGAGATTCTCTGTAGCTCTGACTGTCCTGGAACTTGGCCTCAAACTCAGAGATCCACCTGCCTATGCCTCCCAAGTGCTGGAATTAAAAGCATGCACCATCACCTTTTGCCTTAAGATTTTTTTAAGCTATCCAAATCCTTTGTCATTATTTATAAAGTGGTGTAATTTAAAAAAACTGAACTGTTTACTTAACAGATTTAGTGCTAAAACCAGAAGACTGACAGTTTTCTTCCTCAGTTATTTTGGGGAGCTGTATATTTTGGTACTTGCTTGTAATTCCAGCATTAAAGAGACTGAGGCAGGAGAGTTGCTGTGAGTTTGAGCCACACCAGGGCTACCTTGTCTTAAGGAAGAAAAAAGGCCTGGCATGGTATGCACATGCCTGTGATCCTTGTATTTGGAGGCAGGAGGAACAGGAGTTCAAACCCAGCTTATGTGAAGAATTTGAGATCACTCTAGCTAGCTACATGAGACTTTTTTTTTTTAAATTAGCCTTTATTTTTATGTGTATTAATGATTTGCCTGTGTTTGTGTCTATGCATCACTTGCATGCAGTGTCTGTGAAGGTCAGAAGAAGGCATCAGATGCTCTGGTACTAGAGTTACAGGCAGTTGTGAGTTGCCATGTGGGTGTTAGGAATCGAACCCAGGTTCTCTGAAAGAGCAACCAGTGCTCTTAATTGTTGATCCATCTCTCCACCCCCAAGATTCTTTTTAAAAGATGGGGGAATGATTTTGATTCTATGAATTAGTAACTAGGTATTTAGTTTACACTAAAAGCAAGGTGGATGAAAATTAGGTTTTTTTTTCCTCTCCCAGTATCCCTTGATTGAGAATGAAAAAAGGCAAATATGAGTGGCATCTGGGAATTGCAAACTGAGAAGAATTTGTTTTGTTTTTAGAGACAGGGTTTCTCAGTGTAGCCATGGCTGTCCTGTAACGTGCTCTGTAGACCAGGCTGGCCTCAAACTCACAGAGATCCTCCTGCATCTGCCTGTGGAGTGCTGGGTTTGCAGGTGTGCGCCACCACCTGCCTGGTAAGAGGTATTTATAGTAAGTAATAGGGTAATGTTCTGTTCTAAAGTTACAGCCTCCTTTGATGAAGAGAAAGAAAAGGTGCACATACCAAAAATTACTAAACTTTTTTTAAAAATAGGTTTCTGTGTAGCAAATTTATCTAGTTTAGTGCAAAGGGAGACAGTCTGTACAGAAGGAAAAACAGTAAAATTGGGAATGAGAGTATTTATTTACTGGGTGGTGGTTTTGGTTTTTTTGTTTGTTTGTTCGTTTTCTTTTTTTATTTGAATGAAGGCCTTTTATGTAGTTCTGGATGTCCTGGAACCAGGGTGGCCTTGGACTCTGGCTCAAAGACAACCTTCTACCCTGTCTTTCTGAGTCCTGGGATTAAATTCTTGCTTCACACCCGCCTTTGTTTTCAAACACAAATGTAGCTGGATGTGGTGGCATATACCTGTAATTCCCATCACTCAGGAAGTTGAATTGCTTCCTTAGGGTCTAAACTTCAGCTTCAGAGTGAGACCCTTTCTCAGAAAGTTGTAAAATGGACTTGAATGTAGTTTCATTTTGTTACCATCTAATCCAATTATTAGTCTTACTGTTTGAGAGATACTTTTAAATTTAAAAATGTAAATGTAAATACTTTTACATTTGAATAACCTTACAACCTTGTATATGTACATATCCATATCACTTATTTATGCTTAGTTATGGAAATAAAAAGTTATTTTTTTTCTGTAATTAACATGTCACAAATGTTTGGTTTAGTTTCTGTAGAAAATGTTTCCTGACTGCAATGAGAGAAAGTGGAATTCATTGTCCCCTGTGTCGTGGAAGTGTGACTAGAAGAGAAAGAGCATGTCCAGAACGGGCCTTAGATCTTGAAAATATCATGAGGAAGTTTTCTGGTAGCTGCAGATGCTGTTCAAAAAAGGTAGAGTTATATTATGATAGTGTTTTACTTTTCCTGGTGAACATGGTTTTGAAAAGAAAGACATTTCCAGGCAGTGTGGTGTACACCTATAATCCCTGCTCTCAGGAGGCTGAACTAGGAGGGTTGCAAGTTCACCGGCAGTTTGGGCTACAAATTGAGATAGTCTCAAAAACAAAATAAACAGGATGTTATTTAGATTGAGTTATGAAGAAAAGATCAGAAACTTTGTGTATCAAAAACCTTGAGTTTTTTTATCTTTAAGATTAAAATTTTATTTTCTCAATAAGCTCACAGTCTTTCAAATGTTAATTTATTTAGCCTAATAGAACTCAAACCCCTATAGCTGCTCACTTAGGTATTTAAGAAATCATGAAATATTTTGCAGAAGACTGGTTTAAGTTTTAAGACACGGGATAATCAGATTGATAAACAAGTAGCATTCTCTAATCTACTTGAAGAAGGCTGGACTGGTGAGACGTGGTTAGGCTTTGATATGTCCTTGTGTCTAGAGCATTTACACAAGTCAGATTTGTTTTCCATCTTTGAAGAAGATGCTGAACTGAAAAGGAAGAGAAATGAAAACACACTTGCAGGATTCTTGCCTCACTTCTCAGTGAGAAACCACAAAAAATTTTCCCAATATGAACATGGGACCATCATTCTTTAACCTTCTTTCTAATTCTTACAGGTTGTAATAGTCAAACACCTAGAAGCATGAGACAACCTCTTAGTATTTATTTTGCATTTTGTTTTCTGAGCTAGGCTGTCAGGTAGCCCAAGTGGACTGAGCTCATAATTGAGGATGACCTTGAACAGCTGATTTTTTTTTTTTTTTTGGTCTGCCCAAATGCTGAGATAAGCATGCATCACTGTGCCTGGCTTTTTCTTTCTTTCTTTCTTCTCTCTCTCTCTCTTTCTCTTTTTTGCCTGACTTTTTCTATCAGTATCATCATTTCAAGTGTAAAATTATTTGTTAATCCCCACTAATGGTTTAGTTGAAGCTGAACTTGTGTGCATGAACAAAAATGTGTTATCTATTTTTGTTTTGTTTTGTTTTTTTGCAGCAGAGTCTCTCTTTGTAGCCCAAACTGACTTGAAACTCACTGTGTAGACCTGATTGGCCTTGACCTCTAAGAGATCTCTTTACCTAGTGCTGAATGGGGTTAAAGCTTTGTGCCACCCTGCCTGACACTTAAATGAAATATTTAGTTATCTATTTTCATCTTTTTTCCTCTTATTGACAGTGTCTCAAACGTTGTGTATTCTGTTTTAAATTAAAAGATATATTTTTACCAATAATTTACAGATTAAATTCTATCGCATGAGACATCATTACAAATCTTGTAAGAAGTATCAGGATGAATATGGTGTTTCTTCTGTCATTCCAAACTTTAAGATTTCTCAAGATCCAGTAAGGAGCAGGTAAGCAGCATTTATTTTAAAAGCAAAATTTTAATAATTGAAATGGAAATTGCTATGGGAATTTTGGTTTGTATATGTTTAACAAATTACACTAGGTGTCCTAACTAGAATTTACCTTCAAAATTTGTTTGATAGTTGTATTGAGGATACCAACTCCATGATACCTAAACTTGTACCTAAGTTTATGTTACTTAAAATCATTCCGGCAGTCTTTCTTTGAATAAAAACTGTACCTGGAAGTTGAAGATTCAACTGATTTTTATGTGAAACAATTTGAAAATTTGGCAAAATCACTTTCAATAATGTATTTAAATAGTGTGGTGGTTTTGTTTTGCTTTTTTTTTCTTCCTTCATTGTCCTCTACGGAATAGGTTTAGCATTTGAAGTTTTTATTCTGATAGTGCTTCTACTTTTTTTTTTTAAAAAACTATTATTTTGAGACTGTATATAGTGTATCCACAGCTAGTTTTTGTACTTTGCCTGTGGTGGCTTTGAACTCCTTCTGATTCTCTTGGGCACTGGGCTTACTATCCCAAACCTGGTACCCCATATAGTTAAAATAAAATAGTGATTTATTTTTTATTGTTTTGTTGTTGCATCATTTATTACATTTGTTTATTTGTGTGTGTGCGCACGTATGTGTGCTGCTGTGTATATATGGAAGTCAGAGAACAACTTGGAGGACTCAGTTTTTTCTCCTGGGTCCTGGTGATTGAATTCGGGTCCAGGCCTACCTGCCTGCCTGCCTTCATTTATTTATTTTTAAGTGGGGTGAGAGAATATATGGAGTAGTGGGCTGGGTGTAAACAAATGTCTAAGCAGATTCTAGGCAGGTGTTTAATTAACTAGATATTAAACTTTGACTAAGCCATTCTCCCGCAACCAGCTGATCTTAATATAATAAATACTTTTTGATATTTGGTAAATATTTAGGTAGTGTTTTATTTACTAGAGATTGATTTAGAGCTATCAGAAGCTTCTAGAATACAATAAATAGTCCTGAAATTTTCAGTAAAAGGATCATATTGTCTAGGTTTATTGTTACTTGTACTTCTCTGCTTTTTTCACAGCTCTTTCACCATTCTATTTTTTTTCTGAATAAATTCTCTCCATTAATGTATAATAATTTTTAATATTGCAATATTTCTTATATATTATAACACAATTTTTACTATTGTAATATATACATATATACATATTCACACATATATACACATATATGTGTGTATATATATATATATATATATATAAATGGCTGCCTTGGAACTTGTAGACCAGGCTGACCTTAGCTAGCATCAGAGACTCAGAGAGATTAACCTGCTTCTGTTGGGATTAAAGGCTTGCACCCCCACTTCTAGTGCCATCAGGCTTAGTAGCCAGTACCTGCTAAGCCATCTGTCTCCCCAGCCCTTCTATGAACATTCTTTAACTAATTTTGAATAGAGGTATTTTTGGTAATTTGTTTTTGTTATTCTCCATATGTACACCCAGGTATGATATTGAATAAGTAACAGAAGCTCAATACTGTTAAAATAAATAATAGAAGTAATTTGTATATCTAGTAAGCTGCTAAGCCAGGTCAATAAATAGAGTGATTATCAGAACAGTTTCCTGTGAGCTGTATCCATTTAAACTCCATATTCCTATAACCACAGTTGTTCTTCATATTTCATCATTTCCAATGTTGAAATATGTAGAAGGCCGCAACCACACTCTCCACCATAGATGGCGCTGCACCGCCAGGTGAGCTAGAAAGCTCACACGTGTTGATATTTTTCCACTACTCCCAAGGTATCACCTGGGACTGGGAGCAGTTGACCAATCCAAGAATGACACGTCCGAAGCAGGGTCTGTTTCCTATATAAGGGATGGGTTCCATCTTATCTGGGTCTCCGCCATGTTGGCTGATGCCCGCTCTCCCAAGGGGCATTAAAGCTTTACTGCAGAAGTATCCTATGTGTACCGCGTGGTTCTTGCTGGCGAGACAGAAGCGCGGAAGAGAAATATGTATCCCTAAATGTTTTGCTTCATTTAGAAAATTAATGTGTGAAGAAATGCAGTTTCTTTAGTCTTATAATAGTTTGTGGAAATCAGTGTGCTAAGTCAAATAAATAAAATTTTAATTTCAGTGCTTGTTCCATGTTGCTAATATTCATATTTTAACCATCTTTAAGCACTCTGGTTGTCTGTATATTTATCCTACTGCTTTTGAATGTTTTTCTGAGTACTTAGTTGAAACTTCTGGTAAGTCCTTTAGGATGCGTTCACTGCTCTGCAGAGCTTAACCCCGGTTCTCAACTTACTTGATTTACTGTCAGTAGATAAAATTGTTATTTTTCATTTAGTGATTTTTTTAACCAAATTCCTGTGGATTCTTTCATTCCTGTGCTTTGTTTACTGTACTTCTGCTGTATTATAAGCACGCATTTATTGGTTTTTGTCTTAGTATTTTTGTTTTTATTATTGGTTTTTTGAGACAGAGTCTCTATGTAACCCTGGCTGTCTTGGAACTTGCTTTGTAGACCAGGCTGACCTCAAACTCAAAGAGATCTGCCTGCCTCTGTCTCCCAAGTGCTGGGAATAAAGGCGTGTGCACTCGCACTTCTTCTTAATATGGGGTAATGTTATCTTTTTTTCAACACTATTCTGAATTGTCAGCAAAGTTTCTAGAGTGTCCTACTTATACAGTCACTGCTTATTGGGCTGCTTTGCCTTTGTTTTGTTCTGGTTTTTTGAGACTTGGTTTCACTATGTAGCCCTGGCTGGTGTAGACCTTGATATATAGACTATCCTGACCTTAAACTTTGATGCCTCTGTTGTGAATTATAGGTATACACCACTGTACTCTGCAGTACTTGTTAAATGGCAGTTCCCTGCCGTATTCCTAGGAGACAGACCTTGCTCACTTGGCTCCTTAGGTTCATTTGGTCAGACAATGTTTAGTCTTAATAACAATATTCTTTATCTGTTTTGTTTCTTTCCTGTTGTTACTTCCCTAACTCAATCCCTCTTATTTTTCTGAATAGTATTAGTGTTCAGTTGATAGTTCTTTAATCTGCCTGATTGGGCATTGCAATCTGTTCAATTATGTGTAGACCTGTGTTTGTACATGTGAGTGCAGGTGCCTGCAGAGGCCAGAAGAGGGTGTCATATCCCCCAGAATTAAAGTTACAAATGGTTGTGAGCCAGTTGATGTCGTTGTCAGCCTGTTGTCAGGTCCTCTGCAAGTATATGTTTTGTGTTTTGTTTTTGTTTTTTAGCAACATCTCTACAACCCTGGCAATATATTTTCTTTGGTGTTTAGGAAAAAGGATATCATCTCCAAACTCTAATAACTGGCTGTAGCACAAAGTCCTATTCCAGACTTCTTTTTTATTTGACCTTTTTTTTTTAACTTTTGTCTTTGCTGTGTAATTCTACATATCATCGTATATATTTTAAACCATGTTTAACATATCCGTGCTACCTTGTGTGTATTATGTATATGTGTTAGTGTATATGCATATGTGTTCATGTGGTGGGGGACAAAGGACAGTATCATGTCTTTAGTTGCTCTCCACCTTTGTGTTTAAGATACAGTCTTTTTACTGAACCTGGAGATCACTGATAGGCTAGGGATCTGTTTCTCTCTGCCTCCCCATCACTGGCTTACAGGAGTGCCTTATTGTGCCTGACTTTTTTCATGGCTGCTGTGCTCCTGCCATCAAATAGGTTCTGAGGTAAGCTCAAATGCCATGTTTGTGCAATAAGCACTTTAACCACTGGGACAGCTCCCCAGATGGATCCTTACTATTTTGGAAGACATTTAATTCAGTTAACAGTGAAAGTCGGGCAGTGGTGATGCATGCCTTTAATCCTAGCACTCAGGAGGCAGAGGCAGGCAAATCTTTGTGAGTTTGAGGCCAGCCTGGTCTACAAGATCTAGTTCCAAGAAAGACTCCAAAGCTGCAGAGAAACCCTGTCTCGAGAAACCAACCAACCAACCGAAAAAACAGTGAAGGCTTAACTGGATATGATGGCATTCACCTGTGATCCAGCATTCAAAAGACTAAAGCAAGAGAATTATCATGATTTCAAAGTTTGTCAGAGCTACATGATGAGTCCAATGCCAACCTGGAATATGTAGTGAAATCTTGCTTTTAATGAAAAATAAAAGGATAAGTACAATAAAATGAAAACTATAGAGATAGGCCTGGTGGTACAGGGCTATAATCCTAGCTACTCAGGAGATTGAGGAAGGAAAAGCACAAATTCAAGACCTGCCTGGGCTTTCATGGCCAGAAGAGACAGCTTTAGAAGAACCTTTGATCCAAGAAAGAAAGGGGGGGGGTGCTGTGAGGTAGGGCTGGACTATCGTTTAATGCCTAGGTTAGAGCTCCTGTACTGCAGATGAGCACATGGATGAATGAATAAATGAACACGCGTATGCATGCATGCACACTGGATTTGAGAGTGCCCTGACTCAGATTCCAGCTCTGTTCTTTCATAATTGTTTGACTTTGTCAAGAAACTGCCTTGGTTTTCTCACCTCTTTATAAGTGGGGTTGAAGGTTAATGTGTTAGTATAGGTGAGATTAAGTTGTATAATGTCTTACCCCTCCATCCTTTACAAGTGGTATTGTTTTTCCTTAACACTGTAATCTATACTTTATCAGCTCGCCTGGTATTTGTTTATTTATGTTTTTTGAGACAGGGTTTCTCAGTTTAGTCCTGGCTGTCCTGAAACTTAATGACCAGGCTGGCTTCCAACTCACAGATCCACCTGCCTTTGCTTCCCGAGTGCTGGGACTAAAGGAGTACATCAGTGTGACTGGCAAAATTTTAATGATTTAATTTTTATTTTATGTGATTGGTGGTTTGCCTGCATGTATGTCTGTGTGAGGTGTCAGATCCCTTGGAACTGGAGTTACAGGCAGGTGTAAGCTGCTATGTGAGTGCTGGGAATTGAACCTAGGTCCTCTAGAAGAGGAGGCAGTGCTCTTAACCACTTGAGCTGGTAGACTTTTTATTCTTTTAATGTTTGCTCGCTCTCTCTCTCTCTCTCTCTCTCTCTCTCTCTCTCTCTCTCTGTGTGTGTGTGTGTGTGTGTGTGTGTGTGTGTGTTAGAGATAAGAGGACAGCTCTCAGAATATGGTTCTTTGTTGCCATCTTGTGGGATCTGAAGATCAAACGCTCAGGTTTCAGGCCTATGTAGAAAGCTCCTATAACCCTTGAGTCATTTTATTGGCCTTTTTTAAAAATTTTAACTGTTAGCTCCCCTGTGAAATCTTTCCTAACCTTTAGAATTTCTTGTTAGTAAAACTGTAGTTTGTATTCCAACTAAAGTTTTAAAACGTTATTTATTTACTACTAAATCCTTTTTTTTTTTTTTTTTTTTGGTTTTTTGAGACAGGGTTTCTCTGTAGCTTTGGAACCTGTTCAGGAACTAGCTCTTGTAGACCAGGCTGGCCTTGAATTCACAGAGATCCGGCCTACCTCTGCCTCCCAAGTGCTGGAATTAAAGGACTGCACCATCATCGCCCGGCTTAGTATTGTTTTTATATCCTATGCAGTGTGGTAATTACCATAGAAGGTACCATGAATTTTCAGTATGGACATGTGCAGAGTTGTGATTTTTGTTGTTGGGTTTGTTTGTTTCGTGGTGTTTAGGCGTCAGACACGGGGATTTAGTGCTTTACATATTGTAGATAAGCACTATACCACAAGCTACATCCTTAGACCTTAGTTTTTCTGAGATAGAATCTTGCTGTGTGACTACTAGGTAGTTTTGAATAGGCTTTGAACTGATGAGCTGGCCTCTGAATTGTAGGATTATAGGTGTTGTGGCAAAAGAAATGTTTTCCTTTGCGGGGGACACTTCTTGCGCTTCCAGATGTATTTTGATTCCTAGCACCCACATCAGGTGGCTTACAATCATCTAATTCCAGCTCCAGGGGAAGCTGATGTCTCTGGTCTCTGAGGTTACCTGCATTCTCATATACAGACACACTCATAGAATGAAAAATAATACTAATCTCTAAAAGAAAAAAAAGGTGTTTCCCCATGGTAGAGTAGTGAACTGGAAAAGAAGCCCCAAAGCCAGCAAGTTCTTGTTTTTATAACATTGACAACATTGAGGAAATTCTATGGCATGTTAGTTACAGTACCTATATGAAATGCCCCTTTTTCTTTTATTCTATATGACACTAACTTTTCTAGCATAGGGTATAAGCAAATAGGTCAGGATGGTCAGTGTACTAGAGAAGTGTGCTAATGATGCCTAGTTTCTTTTTAGAAATACATTATAATCTTTATAAAAGTTCAAATATTTTGTGAAACCTACTCCTACACTTTGGAAGCCACAACCTTCCACCATATCCTAGCTACATCACAAAGGTTCACAATATTTTAGTTTATCCAACGGTTTAAAAATTTAACAGGGAGCACTAGAGAGATGGCTTAGTAGTTAGTAGAGCATTAGGTGCTCTTCCATAGGACCTGGGTTTGAATCAGCATCTACGTGGGAGTCTCACAACCATCTGTGACTTCAAATACAGGGAATCCTATACCCTTTCCTGGCACCTGCAAGCAAAACACCCCGTGATAGCTCATGCCTGTAATGCCAGAAGGATGAATGAAGCAGGAACATGAGGAGTTTGAAGACATCCTGAAATAACTTCTAGACCTTGTCCAAGCCCCCACTTCACCATATCACTAGTTGAGGGAAAAGATTTTATGTAATTACAGTTCTGTGTTCTCTAATTTACACTTGTACCTGAATATTGTAAAAGGTTTTGTGTGTGTGTGTGTGTGTGTGTGTGTGTTTTCTTCACTAGTGGCTTGGAATTCTCTTTGTGGCCCAGGATGGCTAAAACTCAGAGATACACCTGTTTTTGCCTCTGCCTCTCAAATACTGGGATTAGAGGAAAATCTAGAGCTGGCCTCAAATATATGATCCCTCCTGCCTCAGCATCTTGAGTAGTGGTGACATTATCAGTGTATGCCACTATGCCCTGCTGTAAAAATCTATTTTAAAAGGATGAATATTTGAACAGTCTTACTTGATTTAGAAAGTAATGCCGTGAGTATCATGAATATTTTGTATTTTAAGACTACTTGAAGTTTACACTTTTTAAAAAAAAATATGGATGAGTGTTTTTCCTGCATGTGTAACAGATGTGTGCCTGGTGCCTATGGAGATCAGACGTATTAATCGCTGAACCATCTCTCCAGCCCCTGAAGTTTAGTCCTATCATCTTCATTAAACAGTTCACATTAATGAAGTCCTGGTGTCTTTTATTATTCGGGGTATTAACTCTTTTCCTCCCTGTGCTTCTTAAGTAATAGGAATGAAACACCTTCATCTGATAACACAGAAACTTACCAAGAGAATACAAGGTAAGTTTTTAAAAATTCTATTTTAGTAAATAATATTGTTGAATAATATAGAAGGTGATTATTATTTGTGGCGATAAGAATTTAAGCTAGAGATTGAGCATGCTAGACATTTCACTGTACCCTTGAGCTATAACCCTGATTCTCATAATAGATTTTTTTTTTTTCCTCTGAGACATGATTTTGCTGTATAGCTTAGGCTGGTCCTAAAATCATGATCCTCTTGCCTAAGCCTTCAGAGTACTTGGGGTTACAGGCTGATAGGTTATAAAAATTGGTTAGTTAGTAGATTTTAATGTGTGCTGTGTGTTCGTGTGTATACCACATTACATATATAGAGGATAGCTTGCCGAAGTTCTTTCTCTCTACCATTTATTTCTAATGCTTCAGAAATAAAAACAGTGCTTAAATAGTTGTTGCTTTCAGGACCATGTAAGAGCTTATCTATTTTCCTGGTCAGATTTTTTCCATGCATGATTCAGGCAAAGATGTCAATATTAAACTGTCACTTGCTAACATTCAGAGATGTTAAACCCCAGTGATGCTTGATTCTTAGATTGCTTTGAATTACTTTGTCTTAGGGTTTTTGTTGCTGTGGTAAAACACCATGACTAGTGCAACTTACAGAAGATAGAATTTATTTGGGGCTTACATTTCTAGATTAGAGTCCATGATGGTGGTATGAGGCTTGGTGATTGGCAGCTGGAACAGCTCCTATCTTGATACATAAGGAGGAAGCAGAAAGCACACTGGAAATGGTATCAGTTGTTTGAAACTTCAAAGTCTGCCTAGTGACACACTTCCAACAAGGCCATACTTGCCTGTCCTTCCCAAACAGTTCTAACAAATGGGAACCAAGTATTCAAACATGATCCTTTGGGGGTCATTGTTATTTAAGCCACTACACATTTCAGTCTTTACTTTTTTGCCTTTTCTTTGAATTTTGTCTTAGATTCTTAATCTGGGGTATATTAAAGTTAGAATTTGATGGGAATCCCTTTTTTAACTGTATCTTAAGTGCTTTGGGGAGGGTAGTAAAGCACGTGCTGTTGTATACTTGTGCAATTTAGGTAACTACTGTGCTTTCACTTATTGAGCTATATCACTGGTCCATGGTTCTACATGGTAGACTGTAAAACTGTTGACAGATTTCTGTCCCGCTCGGTCTCGCAGCCATTCAGTCCCAAAGAAACACACAGAGGCCTACATTAGTTATAAACATGTTGACCTATTAGCTCAGGCTTTTACTAACTCTTACATCCTACATTAACTCATAATTCTTGTCTGTGTTAACCACCTGGCTTGGTACCTTTTATCAGCGAGGCATTCTCATCTTGCTTTCTCTGCGTCTGGGTTACGATGGCAGACTGAGCCTTTCTGGTAGCCCCGACTATACTTCCTGCCTGGCTATTGGCCAGCCAGCATTTTATTAAACAAGTATAAGAGACAAATCTTTACAGGGTACAAGACTATTGTCCCACAGCATATAACAGTTAGAAACTTGAGTGGACACACTGTGACTTCTGGCATCATATGAATGGTTACAATTAAATTTGGACTTCTTAGGCATGATCTCATGTTTTGTTTGTAATTGTTTGGAGATGGGTTTCATTAGGTAAATGAGGCTGATTTTGAACTCAGAATCTTACTGCTTTAGCCTTCTGAGTACTAAGAATTAAAGGCATTGACTATCGTACTTAGCTTTAGCCCTTATGTGGCCAGGTGAAAAAATGGTCTGAAATGATAAACATTAGTACTATATAAAATGAGACTGAACTATGACTTAAAATACAACAATAAATTCATAACAATGTATCAATAAAACACAACAATAAATTCATAACAATGTATCAAAAAACAGAAACATCTCGTTTTTTATGTTGATGGTTTTGAATTTCAGTATGTCTCATTTGAATTGCCTTATAGTTCTTCTGGGCATCCCACCTTTAAGTGTCCCTTATGTCAAGAGTCAAATTTCACCAGACAGCGTTTATTGGATCACTGTAATAGTAACCATCTATTTCAGATAGTTCCTGTGGTAAGTACATATATCCAAAAGAATCTTCTGTTTAAAGCATGTGGTTCCATGAATCTGTCTTCACGTATATAAAGGGGAGGGTTCTTTATTTAAATTTGGATTTAAAAGTTTTAATAAGTGATTGTGATGCAAAAAATGAGATTTAAAATTTAATTACCTCATTAATCAAACTGTGAGTTAATGTAGACTAGTCTAAGAAAGAATGAAGGGTGAACTAGGGAATCATTTCTGTGTAGTGGGAGAGCCTAATTTCATTGGGTCCTTTCAGTTTATTTTGCTGGATGCAGAGAACTAGATCCAGTCATGTAAATCTGTTGCAGAAGATAATACCTATATATAAGAATAAAAATGAGCTAGGCATGGTAGTAAATGCCTTTAATCCTAGCTCTGGTGAACAGTACCAGGCCAGCTAGAGCTATACTGTGAGACCTTGTTTCAAAAAGCAAAGAGTAAAACCAGTAGATATTTTTAATTATATCTTTAAAGAATATGTAAAGAATGTGTAAAGCAAGAATCATGCTATATTTTTATTTTGATACATACTTATCTTCTTTGTCATTTTAGTGTAAATGTGTAGATTACAGGATTCCAGCATTTTGTTAATGATCCCAGAAGAACTTATTTTGAGCATACATTTCATAGAATTTTAACTCTTAGACAATGGAAGAGGACATATTAAGCTGACAGATAATCTTTCATCTCTTTTACCTTATCCCTACCCTGTACTGGAATTTCAACTGGGGCACTTGCCCCACAAGCATCCTGCCATTAAAATATATCTCCAGCCTTTCAATTTTTTTCTAATAAAATTTTATGATGGGGTCTTACTTAGTTGCCTAGGTAGATCTTGCATTTGTGTTCTTTCTGCCTCAGCATCAGTAGATAATTCTGTATATTTCTATACATTTATAGGAGAAGGTTGTTGATTGCAATTTGGATTTAAGTTGTTAATACAACATATTTTTGCTAATGATTGACCATGATGCAAAATGTGACATAAAATTTTACTACCTTATATAAAGGAGAATAATGTAGACAGTCTACAATAGGATTAGGGATTACAGGTTTGAGCTACCACAACCTGCTTCTTGAAGAGTGAGTAAAATGTATTAGTAACATTTACAGCCACTCTTTAGATAATTTTAGCTAGTAGAACATGTTTCAGAAAAATGCCCTAGTAACCATTGAGGATTCCTTTCAATTTCTGCAACCATTCATTAGAAGGGAAGGGGTTAAATAAGCAAATACAGTACCAAAGAGGCATGTAGGGAATCTTCATACTTAAGACATTGTGCTTGGTTTTATATTGAATTGATTTGATTTGTATTCTTTTCTGCATAATACTTGTACATTGTCAGCTTTGGCTAGAATCCAGCTATTAGTTTCTTTTTGTGATAGTTAAATGTACTTCATTAAAATTTTGAGAATATAATTTAAACTTTATAATTTATTCCATTTTCATTTTACATGAAATCAAGCTAATAATAATTCTATAATGGTTTTTAATTAGATTAAATAAGATGTTGCACATGTTGTAGGTAATGAAAACTTACTACATTGATGTTAGTATAGGCTGTATGTGTTGTTTCCTGTTTAAATAGTTATATATTTGGATTTAAGTTACTAAATTTAAATAATAGACTATCCATGGTCTTTCTTACTATAATAGTGTCATTTATCTTATGTAATTTGCTTGGGAAATGACCTAGTTATGGGATTTGACTCTTAGAAATGGATTTCAAGAACTGCATGTGGTAGCACATGGCTGCAGTTCTAGGACTTGGGAGGCTTAGACAGAAAGATCACAAGTTCAAAGCAACCTGGACTACCTTGTGAGACTCTGTCTCAATGTCTTTATACTATCTAGTGTTTTTTTTTGTGTGTGTGTGTGTGTTCAGGCAAACCTTAAGAGACACTGTAGATTTGAGTGCAGACACAGTAGTAAAGCAAATTGTGATGTGAGGGCTGGGTGTGCTGTTGCACACCTTTAATCCAACATTTGGGAGGCAGAGGCAAGAGGATCTCGGTGAGTTCCAGGCCAGCCTGGTCTACATAGCAAGTTCTAGGACAGCTAGGACTACGTTAGAGAGACCCTGTCTCCAGGGATTGGTGTGAATTGAGCTACACCTTTTCTGATTTTTCAGTGCATATAAAAATTACACTTGACTATATATACTGTTTCTGTTAAGTATACAATAGAACTTTGTCTAAAGTATAACATTATCTGAGTTAAATGCTTCATTGCTAAACAGTGTTAATGATCATTCGAACTGTTTGCCAAATAGGCTTGCTTAACACTGGTTGGCACAGACTTTCAATTTCTAAAGAAACGTAATATCTGCAAAATGCAACAATGAAGTATACCTGACGTTTTTAGTAACGTGAGCTTGTATTTTAATGCTCTCAATAAGTATATAATGTTTCATTATTTTGTAATTTTTTTTATTTAAAACAATCTGTTTCTCATAGACATGTCCTATTTGTGTGTCTCTTCCTTGGGGAGATCCTAGCCAGATTACTAGAAATTTCGTTAGTCATCTAAATCAGAGACATCAGTTTGATTATGGAGAATTTGTGGTAAGTGAGTTCTTCAAGATTAAGAAAGTTAAATTAACTTTTCAATCTAAATTTGAGTTTTCAGGCAAATTGTGGAATCAGACCACTGGATAAAGGGAAAGGTGCTGTATTTAGTAGTAAAATTGTTAAGCTTCATGAAGTTCTGAGAATTTATTGTTTATACTAGAGTGATAATTATTGAAAAAAATAAACCCCTTAATAGCAAAATGAAAGTTTAAGTAAAAATTGCCTAGAATTAAGAGAAAATTATACCTCCTTGAAAAGTAAAATTGGCGGTGGTGGTGCACGCCTTTAATCCCAGCACTTGGGAGGCAGAGGCAGGCGGATCTCTGTGAGCTCAAGGCCAGCCTGGTCTACAAGAGCTAGTACTGGGACAGGTGTCTATAGCTACAGAGAAACCCTGTCTCAAAAAACCAAATAAATAAATAAATAAATGAAAAGTCAAATTGGTACAACATGTGGGGGAGAATGTGTTACAAATACAGAGTTAGTTGCTATTATATGAGGCACATTAACAAACAAAACCAAAGAAACTCATCAAAAACCAGGTTGTCTACTTAAGAAAGGCAACAAAGGCCCTCAAACCAAATGGGTCATCCTCTACTTTTCATATTCATGATAATTTAAAAAATGATGTGATAATTTTACTTTATTAATTGTAAAATTGTACTTAGCTTGTATATGATTAAGATCTTATTTATTTAATACACGATTCTCAGTAAAGAATAGCTGATATTCATTTTCCTGTTCAGGTAAACACAGGCATGCATAATTTTCATTTTTATGGACTTTGCAGTTTTAGTCTGTTATTTGAGTATAAATGTATGTAAAATTCACATGTGCTTATTTAGTGACTTTAGGAAGTAATTGTATATTATTAAATTTCCATTTTAAGAACAGATACTGTGCCTGCAGGGCTATATTTGGAACAGCAAAATGGGTTTTGTCAGCTATTTTTACTCTTAATTCTTTGTTTTACCATGGCATAAAAAACTATTTCACTTGTCAAGTAGACAGCTTGATGTCTTTTAAAGCAAATCCATGGGCATAAATCGACAGCAAATTGCATTGATAAAGTATGGTTTTTGTTGTTGCTGTTGTTTGACTGATGAGTCAGAGAGAGGGAACTCAGTGCATTCTAAGTAGCTGTTCTACACCGAGGTACTTACTATGCCCGAGTCATAGAATCAGTCTATAATTTAAAGATGACTGAGCTAGAGTTACTTAGTTTCACGCTGTGGTTAAGAAGCTGTTATTCAGCTATTAATTCAGTAAATGCTTATCTTTCTTAAAATTAGCTTCTCTTCACAACAAATCTTTTCTAGAAATGATACAACTTAATTGTGTTATTAGTTTTTTTTAAAGATTTATTTATTTATTATGTATACAGCATTCTGCTTGCATGTGTCCCTGCAGGCCAGAAGAGGGCACCAGATCTTACTGCAGATGGTAGTGAGCCACCATGTGGTTGCTGGGAACCCCTGGAAGAACAGTCAGTGCTCTTAACCTCTGAGCCATCTCTCCAGTCCCTATTGTGTTATTAGTTATATGTTTAGTCAGTATAAATTTTATTCTCTGCTGAGCTGAGCAGTTATTAGTTATTACTAAATAATTATAGCAGAATTTAATTTTTAAATTTTGTGTGTTGAAACCTTATATTTTGCTATTTTTGAGATGGGGGTCCCATTATGTCCATGCATGTTTCAAACCCCTGGGCTCAAGGTATATCCTCCTGCCTCATGCTTCTTAGTGTCTGAGAATATGACACACACCATGGTGCTCAGCTTAATCTTGCATTTTAAAACCTAAAACATCAATGCAAATGTATGCAAAGATGTATAATACATTAGATAAAATTGAATAGTTATTTTCCTGTTGACATTTTTTTTCCTTGTTTTAGAATCTTCAGCTAGATGAGGAAGCCCAGTATCAAACTGCTGTAGAAGAGTCTTTTCAAGTAAACATCTGATGTGTGTACACATCTCTGCATCCTTGTACCTACAAGTGCCATCTTTAAGGGAAAGACAACATGAAGTCACCATTTCAGTAATTTGCTGTGCATATTAATAAAAATAATTCACTCTACTGTATTAGGTTTTTAATTGAAAATAAAGGTGGGCTACCCTAACTCCATTCTCTAGACAGCTACTTTAACAGCATGGAAAAGGTTGTGTTTTATTTGTGTGGTGAAAGGGAATTCCTGTTGTCCTTTTCTTCCTTGAATTACATATTCTGAATGTTTCATTAAGTTGTTTTTGATATTTGATACAGTTTCTTCTATTTACTTTAGTACAGAGAGGTAACAGTACTTTATTACAAAGGTAACTAGCAAATTCTGAAAGATGTGATTCCTATAAAAATAATAAACCTGAGCCATTTGTCAGAGCTGCAGAATGGAAACTTGAAGTTCTAAATGGAATAATCCAAAGGGATTTTTTAAAGTATAGATTCTAGCTGAGGAATTCAACAATAAGAAAATTGTATTTATGTAATGTTTTGTATTTTTGAAGACTAGTGAAATTTCTATAATAATTTTGACTTTGAAAGTGTATTGTACAAATGTTTCTTCTTTTGCTATTAGATCAACATAGCAAGAGAAGAGAAAAGAGTTTTCTGTGGTTAGTTTGTTATTCACTCTAGCTTGAATAATTTGTAAGCATAAATGAGTTGTATGGCAGTTCTTTGTAGTTAGTATTTCTCATTAGCTGACTTCAGTCAGTGATATCACACTTAAATTAGTTTTTTAAAAATCCAAAGTTTGAAGATATATGTGGATATATGTACATACACTTTAGCATGTATCTGTACACATATATATCTTTGCCTAGAGTTTGTCAGGCTATGTATAGAATTTCTATTAAGAGTTTTAATAATGGGCAAGCAATATAGGATTGAAGTATTTATCTCATTTGATTAAAATTTTGTATGTTACCAAATTTTTTAAACAGTAAGCCAAATACTGAGTTGTACAGTTGGCTGTTATTACACCTGAAACATTTGTTATATGGTGCTCATTAGTTATATTTGAAAATAATGCATAGGTGATGTAGTGAGAGAGACTTTACCAGCTACTGTTTGACTACACTTTAGTCAAAACTAAGTTTGTTCTTAGTCTTTGATGTAAAGTATTGTAGAGGAGGCCAGGTTACAGAGTATAGGGTGAAGAGTGAATTCCTGACATTCCATTGCTAACATACACTGTTATGCTTTCTTTAAAATAACTAAACTCAAAAGAAAATCTCTGAGGTAGTTTGCTGCTAATATATACATATATTGTAAAAAAAAAGGTATATTTTGATTTTCTTAATATCCTCGTTGACTTTTCTACAATAAACATTTTTTAACTTGATTTAATAAAAATGTTAATTTTGAACATGCATTTTGTAAAAACCTTTTTCAGTTAAACAGTAATAACTTTATTTATGTTTAGTAATACAGTCACACACACACACAAAAGCCATACATCTTAATGCCTTTTTTTTCTGTTGTTTCTTGAATGTTTTCTAGCACTTTCAGTTGGCATACAGGAATTTTAGAAGCATCTATATAATGAACTCTTTAAAAGGAGACTTTTGTCCACAGTTCTTCCAGCTTAAAGCAATAACTTTGATACTTTTATAAAGTTTAATTTAGCCATTGTGTCCGTAAACCATCCTTGGATGTACAAACTTCTTTAAACGGAAACTTATACTAGAGGCCATTTTGAAATCCTGTTTTGAAAGTCTTGTGGATGAGTTAAATATTAATAACTTTTTCATAAGAATTACCCCCCACACACACACATACTTCGGGGAACTCCTAACTATGGAAAAAATTTTTAACTTCTCTTTGTCAGTGAATTAAGAACAGGAAAGATAGGCTTTATAATTTAATTCATAGAAGGGAAATCCCCTACTTTCTTTAGTCCGTAGCTCTTGGATAAAGCTAAGAAGTTGTAGCAATATGCTGAGGCATCATTTTCACAGACCAATTACGAAAGCTATTTCTCCTTACAATTTAGTTTATGTTGTCAAATATGGTGTTATCTGAGATGTACTACTTTATTTTTTTTTCAATTAAAAATGGTTTTCTCCTACTTGTGTGTCTTAATTAAAATTTGTCCTTAGATAAACATTTTAGGTCTCATAAGACCTTGCAAAATATGCATGAAACTTCCATTATTTTGCACTTGAAAAAGTTGACTTGCTGTTAGTGCTGATACTACTGTCCTTTGGGTTGAACTGTATAAAATTTTGTCTTTACGTATTTCCAATGTTAAAACATCTGCGTATAGCTATTTCATAAAGTATTCATACAGCAAGATGTGTCAAGTCCTGCTAGTCAAGCAGAAAGTCAGCGAGGTGACACCTTTAATGTGGAGAAATCGGCTGTAGGCAAGATAGGACTTTAAGAATATTTTGCATATGTAGTGTCATCTTTGTGTTGGGCTGCTTGGTAAATATCACTGTCTTCAGTGACCCATGCCCTCCCTTTATAGGAATTGTAGATCTTATATTCAAATATACTCCCATCAGAGGAATACTATTGTAGCTTATTTAGAAAAGATGTGTTCTAGAATACACCCAAATACATCCATGTGCAGTTTGTAGTGGAGGTGGATTTATTACATGATGCCCACCTACAGGGTTCAGGAAAGGAGAATAGAGACCAAGCATATGTGAGGTCATATGTTGAGAGCTGGAGCAATGGCTCATCACTTGTTCTTATAGGGGGCCTGCATTTGGTTTACAACCATCCATAACTCCAGTTACAGGGTATCTGCACATGGTAGACATTGCAGGCGAAACACTAGTGCACACAAATCTTTTTAAGAGGTTGTTCATAGATTGGAGTAAAAGGAATAGAAGGTCTGCAAGATGGCTCTGGAAATTACAAAGCACTTACTGACAAAGTTTGGCAATTTGGGCTTGATCCCTAAAACTGGTGGAAGGAGAGGCACAGACTTCCACAAAGTTGTTCCCTGATGACACCATATATATATATATACATATATATATATATACATATACATATACATATATATATATACATATAAACAAGGGTCTTGTGGAAGGGGGATTAACAGCCCTTCACACCAACTGCACTTGGCCTGTCTGTCATAGGCTTTAGAGAGGCCAACCATCACACAGTACTCACTAGTAAAAGATGTGGGTGCCTTTCATTCCTGCTAAGGAACCAAACTGCAATGCAAGGTTTCAGTATGTCTCTTTTTTCTTGTAACTGAAGTATGTATTCTACTTGTAAGGTACGCTTCCAGCCCCTGTCTAAGGGATCCTTATAAGTTCTGGGAAAGCTGAGGCAAAAGGGATCTCTGTAAGGTCAAGAACAGCCTGAGCTATGTAATTAGACCTGTCTAAACCCTCTCTAAACAATAGATTTCTGGACGTAGTGGTACCTGTCTTATCCCAGCACTGGAGAGGTAGAGACCAGCCTATTCTCAAGGTCCTTGCTTTGAAAAGGTGTCAGCATGTGGAAGGCAGAGGCAGAAGTTTGAGACCAGTCTGGTTTTAAAAAACTGTGTCTGTCTAGACATGGTTTAGGGGATTAAAGCACTGGCTGTTTTACCAGAGGTTCAGGGTTCAATTCCCAGCACCCATATGGAAGCTAACAATCACTTGTAACTCCAGTTCTAGAGACTCTGATACCTCTGACCCCAACAGGTATCAGACATGGTTGTACAGTCTCCATGCACATAAAGTGAAAATCTTAAAAATACTGATCATGGTAGCACTTGAGAGATGGAGGCGGGAGAACCAAGTCATTCCTCTTATCTACATGAGACAAAAGAGACTTTGTAGTTGGAGATGAGTAAGGTGCAAGAGCTTACATGTGGATACAGAAAATATTAGATGAATTAATAACCTATTTAATGAAGGACATGGAGCAGACACACAGGATGTGGGAAAGTAAGTTGCTGGTCTGTTCATGGCCATGATGTACGTGACACTGAGCATACACAAGGAGGACAAGCGTAAGTGACTGGTGGTCACATCAACCTATCTCCCACATATCTAACTTGTCTTTTGCTCAGATTAGAAATGTAGAGTCTGGGCGGTGGTGGTACACACCTTTAATCCCAGCACTCAAGAAGCAGAGGCCAACCAAGGTTACACAGAAAATCCTTGTCTCCAAGAAAAAAAAAAGGTTTTTTTTTTTTGTTTGTTTTAAATAAAAATTCAGTTTCTTGACGAGATCTTCCTCTGTAGCCTGGGCTACCTAGAACTTGAATCCTGTCTCAGTCTCTAGAACATTGGAATTGCAGACACGTGCCACAATACCTAACCCAAGTTTTGGTGTTTGTGAACATTGGCTTGAAACTAGGCCGTCTCTTGACCTTAGGGGTGCTGTATATAATGAAAACCCAAAAACTGGCTGGTCTCATTGTAACTGACTTAAGAAAGGTGCAGATGGCCTAACACCTATCCATGCTCTCTCCATGACTATGTTTTACATGTCTTTTCAACAAATGGTGTGTGTGTGTGTATATGAGAGAGACACGAAGGGTAGGGAAAGACTGGGCGTGTGAGTGTTGTGCATATGGAAATTAGAGGACAACTTTGAAGAGTCTCTTCTTCCACTGTGGGTTCCAGGGATCAAATTCAGGTCATCAGGTATGTGCTTTCACCATCTGAGACATGTTGCTAACAAGCCTGAAGTCTTCCAGGCATTTTATAGGTATGGGTTGTCTGTCTGCTACAGAACCCTCTTGCTTCCTTGTTTTACATATTAGTAAAAGTATATAAGTATTAAAACTAAAAAATAGTTGCAGAGCAAATTATTGTCATCCAGCCTTGATGGGAGCAAAAGTTCTTCAACCATTTGGCATTTTCAAACATACGTTTTTGGGGAACCTCTCCCCTCCTCCACCCTATTTCCACACTTAACTCTTCCACCATCAGTATTCCCCTTTTCATGTTGTATTTTTATTGCCCTCCTTAACCTACTCTTAAAACCTTTTTCCCTCTAGATCCCTTTCTGGTTCTCTGGTATTTCCAGTCACTTCCACATAAAGATACATAAACTTGAGCTAAGTTCATGTATGAAAAGTAACATGCTATGCTTGTCTTTCTGAGCCAGGACCTTAGATTTTTCACTGGGCCTGTGTTTTGAGCAGCTCTACTAGTGGAACTACACTCCCAGGCCTGTGCAGATCATCTTTAAGAATTGACAAATGTAAGATTCATAAATCTACTGGCAAGACTGAATTGGTTTGTCATGTTTCTAAATCTACAATTTAGATGTCTTTGAAACATTTTCATGGGGCTGAAGAGTTGGCTTAGCAGTTTAGAACACTGACTGCTCTTCCAGAGGACCTGGGTTTGATTCTCAGCAACCATGTAACGGCTCAGCTCACAGCTGTCCTTAACTCCAGGTTCTAACATCCTCACACAGACATACATAACACCAATGTACATAAAAAAAAAAACCTTTCTTTGTGGGATGTCATTTCTTTTTTTAAATTATTTTATTTTATGTGCATTGGTATGAAGGTATCATATCCCCTGGAGCTGGAGTTACAGACAGTTGTGAGCTGCTATGTGGGTGCTGGGAAATGAACCCAGGTCCTCTGAAAGAACTGCCTGTGCTCTTAACCCACTAGCCATCTCTCTAGCCCAGGATGTCATTTCTTAATTACTGTGGAAATAACACAATGTGGCCAACATGGTGTTCTCTGGGCCTTCTGAAGTTCTCCAGAAATAATCCTCTGAGCTAAGTTGTGGGCATGTAAACAGAATGGGGGAAAACAGAACCCCCTTCCTTTTCCTTTTGCCTTCCCTGTGAGACACTAAACGTATTTTTAATAGTTCCTTGGAGATGTCACTGCAGCCATGCTCAGTCCGGTAACAAGGATGGGTGAACTACACAAATGCCAAGTGTTGCTTTAGAATTACTGATTTGAGAGTTGGGATGCACTTCAGTTGATGGGCTGCTTGCCTAGTATGCCAGAGTCTCTGAAATAACTTCTAGCCGAATAAAGCTGAGTGAGGTGGGCATGTGAGGACCAGGGAGGGAGTCAAGGTTATCCTTGGCTACAGGAAGTTTGAGACTGGCCTAGGCTATATTCCTTTTTCAAACCTAAAACAAAAAGAATTAGTAATTTTGAAGTGAAAGACTGTATTTTAACTGTATTAAAGAGAGCAAATGCTGGGCAAAATTTATGTCAAAAATCTTTTATGGGTCAATGTAAGATTTTCTTATAAGTTTTTTTTTTTTTTTTTTGTATGTAGGGTTTTGTGTATCTGTATATCAGTATGGACACAAGAACAGATGCCAGAGGAGGCCAAAGGCATTTAGATTGTGTGTATGTGGGTTAGACTGTGTGTATGTGGGTTAGACTGTGTGTATGTGGGAAGGGTGCTAATATCCACTTGAGTGCAGGTGCCTGAAGAAGCCAGAAGGAATTATATGTCATTAGAATTGGAGTTACAGGTGATTATAAGCCACGTGATATGGGTGCTAGGAACCAAACTTGGATCCTCTGAAAGAGCAGCAAGTGCCCTTAACCACTGAACTGAAAGACCCGGATAAATCCAGACCCCTCTAGCAGAAAAAAATAGAGCCAAAAATCTAAGCAGGGAGAGAAGAATCAAAAATCTAGGTTAGCCGGTTCAGTGACTGTGTTCTAGGAACTAGCTGACCATAAAGTTAGATTATAATCTTGAGAATAATCTTGAGAAACAGGGAGTTACCCCCTTGTGATTATCACTGGTATTTTCAGAATTTTCCAATGATGCCCTCCCTACCCCCTTTGGGTTATTGGGTTATGGTTTCTTCCCTTAAATACCCCTTCTCCCAGCTACTCGGGGTCGAACTCTACCACTGTGTGGGAAATGAGTTTCAGCCCCAGTGCACTGGTTTCTGTCCTGTGTGATTATAATATAATAAACCTCGTGTGATTGCAGAAAGGACGGTCTCTCGTGAGTTCCTGGGGGGTTGTGTTATCCTGAGACTTGAGAGTCTTCCCACTCCGGGGTCTTTCAGAACCATCTCCCCAGTCCCAGTACCAGATTTTGTTTGGAAGAAAAAAAAAAAGGAGATGGTTTCCCTAAGAACATTTAAATGTATTCTTGAAAG